CTGTAAGCTTTCATCTCCTCCAACTCTGACTGACTGACTGACTGGTTTCAACGTAGAACTTTGCACGATGTGCAGCAGTTCAAGTCGCCACACTCCATATAGCACACAAAGCAAGAGAAGAAAGTAAAAAGAAAGGCAAAATAGAGACAGTAAACAGAGATATGAGACAAAAAGAATAATAATATCGAAGAACAATACAGTTTAATTGGATATTATAAGTCACAAGGAGTGGATGCATCTGCGCCACTGAGAACGATTTTGAGCCATATCACTGATTGTCTCCAGCCATTGGTTTTTACCATTCCGAGGACCCCAACCAGTCAGCAAGTCTACACCTTCCTACGTGGCTTAAACTAACTGTTGTGGATTTCATTGACTGATGATGAAGCCATGTTCTGGTTTAACCACAACTGGTTCCTTTCCAACCTATGTCAGCTAACATTGTCCGTCGTTGAGGAAGGCGATGGCTAGGCTAGGCATATGTAACACATATCCTAACCATCTCAGTCGATGTAACTTCATAGCCACGTCTATTGATTTTTCTCAACTACCTAGCACTCGATCAATGCCTAACCTCATTATTGCTTGCCTAATTAAAGCACCATTTAACAAGGGAGATAGAACGCAGACACCTATGATCAAAGACAACTAGCTAGCCTTTTCATGTCTTCCACTCTCAATGGCCAGGTCTTACTCACAGTCATAAAGGATGATGGAGCGGACTGCTGAGCAGTACACACGCTCTTTGGTCGACGGCCAGTCGGATATCACGTTTACGCCAAAGACGGCATAAATTGGCATATGCGAAACGAGCCTTCTGTATCCATGGTGAGATTTCGTCAGCGATCAACTCGCTGGCGTTGGCTGATGCAACTTCCCAAAGATGCACCAACCCAAGGAAAGGTTAGATAGAGTTCCATCCTTAATTATAATCAACTTATCAATTTAAAAAATGATAAGTTAAAAAAGTAATAACAAAAACTGTCTCCTCCAACTCACACGACGTCACCCTCAGACTCACTCCCAACTCATCGTTTCGCTTTTGGGTTCCATTTGAGATGTGGCTTGGCGCGCGATGTCACTTGACAGTCTTCTCAGTGAGCGTCCGATTCGTCTACATTTTCTTCGGAATATTTGTTGAGCAATAGGTTCTTGGTCGGTTCGTTCACAGAGTTTCTTGCTGCTTATTCTTTCAGGCCTTGTCTTACCGATCCTCGCTCGCCCTGACATCCTCATCCATGTCATCTGCCTGTATTTGAAACGATCCTGTCTAGATAAGTGGAGGAAGTGACCCATTTCAAAATTCTCCCTTTGATATTAATTGGTGCTTGTTTTGGTAGATATTTTATTAAGTTTTTATAAATTTAACACTTAATGATAATTTTACCACAACGCAATAATTTAAATTGTTCAATACAATTAAGTGTGTTATATGTTCGAAAACTGTTCACGCGAATAACAGTTTTTTTGAAATAATGTAAAACAATCGCAGTCACATCAGGAGATGTGGACTGTCTTTATAAAGTCACAGAGACGCTAAGAATCATTGTTTAGATACTGTCGCTGACATATGACTCAAAATCGTTCTCAGTTGTGCAGATGTATTGACTGACTATTTATGAACTCCTATATTGACTGAATTCTCGTTATGCTCAATGCCCACATTCTCTCTTTAGTACATTTCCGTTCACTGTAGTCCCAGATTTGATGAGTCCTAAATACGATAAAATGTGAATCCTACACTCACTTGTTACTCGTCACTAAACAATCAATCACTTCATGACAATACAGTGGAACGGAGCGGACAACAATGAGAGATTTTAAGAAGGAAAGAAAGAAATATAAAAGGAATTAGTACTTCCAATAAGGGAGAAATGTCTATCACTTAAACAGATGTGACATATTGTATTCTTCATCAATTTTTAAGCATATTATTGAGTGTATAAAAGCACTGATGCTAAGTAGTCAACGTTTGTGTATACTTTTGCTTATAACCGCCTACATATTTCGAAAAAATTAATGCATATATTTTTTTGTAAGTTTGATTCGTCGTAAAATTCTAAAATAAAAGCTGAAAGCTTCTTTGACCAAGTGGCTTCGTCGTTTATAAAACGTTGGGTTTATGGTTCGATCCTCAGTGGGAGCATCATCTGTCACTCACTGGGGAGATGGTGGCACATCTAGCCGACCAGTCTCAAATAGGACGAAATGCTCATTCCACATTCAACTGCCACCAACCAAAATAACATACTGAATACATTCCTGTCCAGTAGAGATGTGCTCCAGAAAGTTATTGTATATCTTTTTCCAGGGTTTCTAACTAGATTAGATTTCGTGAACAAACCAATAAGACGACAAATGTAACACGGTTTTTCCAACTATTCGGGAGATTCTTTACAGTTGCCTAGGACTTAAATCATACCGAAATATGTATAAATCACGAAAAAATTTATTTGAGCATACTTTTGTCACGTTTCTTAATGAAGTTATTCAATAGGAAATGTAAGTAACATAAGTTCGAATAAATGTGGCCAGTTGAACCATTAAAATGTTAATAAGAAGAGTTGATTATTAATGGGAATATTCTTGAAGAAACTAAAAGGTTGAGAGGGTTCAAAGTTTAAGTGGGATCATTATATTAGTATAACGTGTTAAGTAGTTACAAAAAATATTCTACAAGAGTAAGGTTGTAACAACAGAAGACAAGGGCCAGGCAACAGATCGTTTATTAAGGAAAATCAACACATATCTATAGATTTTAATGTACATTATTGTAGATTATTGCTAGTAGAAAATACAGTCTTTTGATTGCTTGTTTCTCACAGAATGTTAACCTTGCATCTGTTTGTGGGTGTGTCAGATCATCCATATGCTACCTGTATCCGCCTACGCAAAGCCTTTGTTCTCATTTTCTCACCACCAATATTGGGGACATAAAAATTGACGTCAATTACTGTTTACCAACTTTGGCTAGCAGCCAGCTCTCACCACAAGGTGAGTAACGTTCAGAAGAAAAAAATAGCTTAAGTTTGAAACAGCCGAAAGGAAGAAGTAGTCTAAATGACGTAATGATGTTTTGTAGACATGATCATCAATATAGCGCGAGACTGACCACCGTCATACGTTTGAAGATGATTGCTTCAGTGAAACGTAGCAGGCTGGATTTCTTTTGCTTGTCATGTTTTTTATTCAATGATTACTAGTTGTTGCTGGAGTCTTTGAGTTAACATTACCCTCTAATTTGGATGACACACGCTGATGAACTAAAGTACCATCAGCCCCAGCGGGTTGATCTCCGACGAAATCTCAGCACGAATACAGAGGGCTAGGTTCGCATATGCCAGTTTACGCCGTCTCTGGCGTAGACGCGATATCCGACTACCGACCAAAGGGCGTGTGTACTGCTCAACAGTTCGCTCCGTCCTCCTTTATGGCTGTGAGACATGGCCATTGAGAGCAGAAGACATGAAAAGATTATCTGTGTTCGATCATAGGTGTCTGCGTTCTATCTCCCATGTGAAGTGGCATAATAGGGTGAGCAATATTGAGGTAAGGCGTCGAGTGCTAGGTAAGGAGGAGAAATCAGTCGACGAAACTGTGAAATTACATCGACTGAGATGGTTAGGACATGTGCTACGTATGCCTAGTCATCGCCTTCCTCGACGGGCAATGTTAGCTGATATAGGGCCAGGCTGGAAAAGAGCTAGCGTTGGTCAAACGAAAACATGGCACCAGTCAATGAAATCCACAACAGTTAATCTAAGCCACGTAGGAAGGTGTAGACTTCCTGGTTGGGGTCCTCGGGACGGTAAAAACCAATGGTTGGAAACAATTGGTGACATGCCTCAAAATCGTTCTCAGTGGCACAGATGCATCCACTCCTTGTGACTTATGATTTCCAATGAAACCGTTTTGTTCTTCGTTATTACTATTCCTTTGTCTCACACCTCTGTTTACTGTCTCTATTATGCATTTCTTCTACTTTCTTCTCTTGCCTTGTATGCTACATGGAGTGTGGCGACTAGAACTGCCGCACATATGTACAAAGTTCTATGTCGAAAACCTACCGACCGATGGACTAAAGAGTTTTAATTCATTCAAAAGTTGCTATTGACTACATAAGTCGATGGTTTGTTCTACATATGTTCTTTTGCCCTACCTGATTATTGTTCAAATTCATTGGATCTCTTCATAACATCAGTTATTCAATGGAATCACTAATCATGGCATATATTATTGATGATTTTCAAAACCAATATTAAGTTAGTTCTTCTATATGGGTCAAAGATTAGGAGCTCCATGAAAGCATTTCCAACAAGCCACTATAGATATTTATCAACAACTACCTTCACTTCAAACTGAAGATCAGATGGCCGACCAGAAAAGATTAGTAATAAGAAACTCTTTCAACGAACCAACCAAGAAACTATCGCCCAACAAGTATGCTGAAAGAAATGGAGATAGGTTAGTCACACACACCTACACACTGAGGAGACCGTTAATTGAAATCACGTGCTATGCTTTTGAGTGGAACCCGATTGTGGAACGTCGAGTTGGGCGTCTAAAGCTGTAGCCAGATAAAGATGACTTCAGAGGACATAATGAAATGGAAGTGTTCTATTGAAGCCCTATATTCCACTCGGAACCTAATGAAATTATATGCATGTATATCTAAAATTGTTTATCAAGTTCGTGAACAACACTATATGAAAGCTGATGATACTGAAATTACTTTTTCTTTTTTTTGGACAGAGCTTTTTTCTCCCCATCTTTTTTTCCTATCCTTTTTCTAAAGTCCACTTTCAGCCTTTCATGTATCCCTTATTGATTTTTATTATTACTATTAATGGTAACTGTTCGATTTGTGTTTTTTTTTGTTTTGCAGTTAGCTGTTATGAATTAGTTGTGTTCACATTATTGAAATAAGAAAACTAATTGTTTCTTTTCTTTGTTTCTTTGTTTTTGACAACAACAACAAAAAATAAATGTATTCCCATAAGGTTGTCCCAGTTGACCAAACATTTGACAAGTCTTCATCAAAATATCCTTATGTTGGCATGTTTTGGTTTCGATTTTGGCGATTTGGTGATTGGTTTGATGTTGTTGTCGACGATCGATTGCCTACGCGTAATGGACATCTAGTGTTTATGCATTCTGCTGATCCTAATGAATTTTGGTCAGCCTTATTAGAAAAAGCATATGCCAAGTTAGTTACTCACTTTACTATTATTATCATTATTATTCTTTTTTATTTACATTTACAAGAAATTTGTTTTTATTTCTTGCCGTCCGAGTGGAACACATACGGCTTCTACTCATAAATTTTCAGTAGCGAGGTAGGTTTGTTAGCTTCACTCCCAACCTTGTCTCTTTCTCGAGCTTACTACTGGATTGTCGAGGTTTCGGAATGCATCGACCAGCAGTTGAAACCGGATATCTCGTGTGATGACTGGCAAGCAGCCGCTACTGGAATATCGCTGTCTTTCAGGATATGTCAAATCATTGTTGCCAGTTCACTTCTCAAGGAAAACTGTAGTTTATTCACTGCTATATTTGTACATGTTGATTTCATTTGGAGCACGATAAGTTGATTTGAGCAGTTGTAACGATTATAACAATCAAACTATCTGCTCAAAATACTGGTTAATCAGTCCTCGAAGAATTGCTTTAATTACTGAATGAAGCGTGGCGCCAGACTGGTTGGACAGTATTCTGTCACTGAACCACTGACGCACAGTAATAACGCCAGTAAATATAACTTCTTATCTTTAGGTAGGTATATATTCTATCACAAACTGGTATCTATTATAAAGTGAATAAAAACTAAAGGACAGTACTGATCTGTTTCGTTCTGGTTGAGGAATTCAGCTGTGTGAACCCAAATCTCTTATTTGAATGCAGTTCAAAACCGTCAGGTGTGTAGAAGACCACATCACCACTTACCTATTAAAGCCATAAATAATTCACTGGCTAACTTCTCCCAACATTCATTTATTGCGCTTACCCCTTGACTATCATCACTTAATTGGGAATTGTTTAAAGATATTTTCAACCAATCAATGTGCTCCTAAATTTCTACAGGCTTTTTGGAGGTAGGGTGTATGTCACTTGTTCCATGATGGTTAGCATTGGACTACAAGATAAGTGTTACTTCTTTATATCTGTAATTCGTCGTATGGATTCGCTTGCATCCCACTTAGTACTGTTATCACTTGGACTCGAACTCAGCACCCATTGTCTCCAGCATGAAAGTGTAACCCACCAAGCTATAGAGCTAAGAGATCCACATTTTGTGCAATGTGGATGCTTTGATATTATTGGTGGATAATTCTACTTCCTTATTGATATTTCTGGATCTAATTGATCAGCCTAATTTTGGTCTATTCACTTCCTGAAGCAATCGATACCTAGATATTATCCTGCTTTTTAACTTGATGTTACCTATTTGTTGGTTGTTAGCAGTGATATTTGGGATGTGTATTGCATTGCTTTGATGTTTGAAGCATGGTTTTACACATTCATGTTTAAGTGGGGAACAACATCGATCACTGAACGCAAGTACTTCTAAATGACGAAGTGCAATTATCACGAAACGCATGTCCTAGATTCTATTGTCACCCACCAACTAATAAGTAACATCATATTACAAGTGAAGACAATATCGATGTACCCGTTCAATCAACTCATACGAGAGAATGACACTGATACACTCTGGGCACAAATTTCAATGGAAAATTTCAAGTACAAAGTTATGTAGTTAAAATATTGATAAGTTTCTTGTGGACATTTTGAAAATCCGAAATCGCGTACAAATATGCTAAAATATCTTGTCTTGTATCCATAACTATTATTAGTAGCGTTATGGAAGTTATTCGCGTCACTTTTCCATGAAAAAATTATTAGCTTGGTTTAATGTACGCCAGAGAGTTTGAAGTTATTTCTTTCTTACTTTCTTTGCCTTTGATACTCACAATTAATTTATCATTATTATTATTTTTGTCATTTAGACTTGTATTCTCCTACGATGCACTTCGTGGTGGTTGTACAGCAGAAGCAATGGAAGATTTCACTGGTGGTTTAACTGAACTTGTTGATTTAGGTTCAAAAGCTCCGGATAATCTGTTCGATATTATGGAACATGCACTTGCTCGTGCATCTCTAATGGCTTGCAGTATTGATGCTGATCCACATGAAATTGAAGCCAATGGTCCATTGGGATTAATTCTTGGTCATGCCTACTCGGTGACAGATATACGACAGGTAAATTGTTATAAATATAAATTTGGATAGTGTTATTATAAGAAGGAGATTATTTGAAAAATATGATGTATTTGCGCCACATACATTTCGAACAATCTGATCACACACTTACTTGCCAAGTCAATTTATATGGAAAAAAAACAAAGGGCAATTGAAGCACACAAAGTGACAAAATGGATTTGAGAACGTGATATTCAGCGAAGAGACTCTTTTCAACGAATTTATTATCAAGCTGTACAATCGTATATATATGTGGTTTTTTAAAGAAATTATATCCAAAGAGGGAATTGAATCAAAGGTGTGAATACATGAAATAATAATAGTATGAAATGCAATTAAACTGTTTGTGATTATAATCATAGTTAAATATATCAAGTGGCAAAACAATTAAATCAATATGACCCATTGCATAAGAGGTGGCTCTCGTGGCCCAAGTGGTCTAGTGGATAACGCTTTGGCGTTGGAAACTATGGGCACTGGGTTCGAGCCTCGGTGAGAACATCATCACTCACTGAGAAATGCAGGTACATCCAGATGAAGAGTCCCAAATAGGACGAAATGCGCATCCTGAATTCCACTGCTAGTCACCATCCACCAAATAAATTATTGTCATATATGGAATAATTCATCAGATGTATAGATATTGGAAACGGGTGTATAACTATAGAATTAATAGGCTAAATAAAACGTTACTCAACATGGTGTGAAATTTAATAAGGTAGGATTCAACATTGTAAAAACATTTTTTGATTTGGAATGACAAGTGGGACAAGTGGAAACAAATCAGAGTGAGAATAGTAATAGTAATGATAATCGTAGTAGTGGGGGAAAGGTACATAGATCAACTAAATGAACAAAATAAATAAATGTCTATCCCTCAGCGGCCAAGGCAGAACTAGGGGTTCTTTTGTACACAAAGGTCTGACTTAAATTCATCACTGGTCAAAGCCTCCGCCGTCTTTAGATGTTTATAAGGAAGAAAACGCGGCGAGTTAGCATGGATTCGGTAGATGATCTTAAAATCATGTTCAGGATTGGAGAAGTGACAGGAGTCGACCACGTTCTCTAGAATAAAGCTTCGCACACTCTTCCTTTCTCCCTGGTAGAACCATGCTGCAATATGTTCTCGTATCCGTGTAGAAAGCGTTCTCTGGCTACGGCCAATGTACCTTGTCCCACAAGAGCAGGTGAACTGATAGATGCACACAGAGATGGAGAACAACTTGCGACTGGTAAACGTCATTTGTAATTTTTCTGCAAAGAACGTCTTACTGACTGCTTTAGAGAAACGCTTTTTGAGCATATCTGAAGCTTGATCACCTTTGAATTCCAAGTTCATGAGTAAGGTTTTCTTTGGAACTGAGTCAGTAACCAGTTTAGACTGCTTATCTTTTGTGTTTCTGTCGGTAAATCAATTGAGATAACCGTTTTCTGCGAGCGTGGCTTTTAGGAAGTCAAGTTCTGAGTCAACGCAATCAGAACTACAAATGTTTCTTATCCTAAAGCAGCGTGAATGAATTAGGTTCGTTTTCTTGGGGATAGGCACCCAACCATAGGAATTATTTAGTTGCCCATTCCATTTACGTTTCCAGTGGATGTTTCTTTTGAGAAATCCGTCATCGCATCTACTAAGGTACACATCAAGAAAGGGAATGTTTAGTTCAGATTCCTTTTCTATAGTGCATTGTAAAGAAGGATGGCAGTTGCTGCATGCAAACAAGATATCGTCAAGAATGACGTCCTTAAGATTTAAGAATGGTTAATACAACGTTTGGTTATCCAATCAGATAATGATTACCAGGGTAGGTTAAGAGTAATAATACATTGTTTCTGAGCACGCAGGAAGGAGGGGGCTTAACTTTATGAATAGCTATTACCTCAATGTATTTCAATAAGCGCCCAAACTTATACTGTAGTGGATAGAAGCTGTGAAAATTTAAGTGTTGCTCTGGACGAGTGGGCTTTCTGTAAATCGGTCATCTAGTTGACCCATCGTCTCTTCGACTCAGAAGTATGTCTAAAAATGTAAGCTAGTTGCGACCTTCTTCTTCATATGTAAAACTTGTATGATTCTGTACGGAGTTAAGTCTATCCAATAGACGAATTGCATCTTCATTATCATCACATCAAAATACTACTACCTATATATCTTCTAAAGGAGGGCACTTTTACAATTAAATCAAGAGATAAGATTTCAACATAAGACTTATAAATGGTCAGAAAGACAGATAAATTTTGGAAAATCAATAGATGCAGGTGGTAGACTACCAGCTTTGGCTACAACCAAACATCCAATCGATATGAACCATAAGATTGATGTTAACACAGCTTTTAAGGTCATCTATAAAAATGGTCAAGGGCGCTTATTGAAATACGCTGAAGCGAAAGCTAGTCATAAACTAACCCCCCTCCAATACACACAACCCTGTGTGTTCATAAACAATTTGTTTTTACTTTTAACCTACCTTGGTAATCATTCTCCGATTGGATAACCAAACGTTGTACTAATTATTCTTATTATTATTAAATCCTTTTGGTCACTTTGTGTACTTTAATTGCCCTTTATTTTTTCACATAAATTGACTTGACAAATAAATGTATGGTCAGATTGTTCAAAAGTTATTGCGCAAATATTATCACATTTTTTCAGACAATCGCCTACTAATAACACTATCCATATTTATGAAAGGGACTAATTGTTTTCAATAATTATAAATGCCAAAATACTTTTCTGATATATATTTGATATTTTCCCCTTTTATCTTATATTGTTCAACATTTATCAACACTTTCGGCACCTTCAGTACTGAAAAAATATGAAACTACATATTGAAGATCGTGTGTGCTGCTCAGCAGTTCTTTGCGCCTTACTTTGCCTCTGTGAGATAATCAGTGGATGTAAGAAACTTGGAACTATTATAAGTCCTAGCTTAACTGCTCACGTTAGGTGTGTTGTAAGGAAGGTGAAATGATTGATCATGTTGTTAACTGCCATCTTTTGAAGCAGTAGGACACGCATTACATATAAGAATTAACTACTGGTGTGGTGAGAGCTGTCTACTAGCCAAATTGGTAGACAGTAATTTACGTCAATGTTTACGTTCTCAATATTTGTCGTGAGAAAATATGAACAAAGACTGATTCAACAACCAACCACAGCAGACTTTGCGTAGGCGGATACAGTTAACATATAGATGATCTGACATTCAAGAAACAGTCACAAAGAGATGAAAGACTAACTTTAAGTGAGAAACAACCAATTAAGAGAATTAACTAATCTATAATAATGTACATGAAAATATATAAATATGCTTTGATTTCCTTAATAAACGATCTGTTGCCTGGCCCTTGTCTTCTGTTGTTACACTGGTAATGTCAACTGAAGTATGATTAACCTAAAGAGGAGTTTAGAGTGCTCTCAACAAATCACCACATCAATCCATGAAGTCACGGTGGAAGTATTGGTAATATTCATTAGGAATAGTACTCAGAGGTGCAGATCTACGTAATCTTTATAGTCTTTGAAATTCTGAATGCCTTCGTTACTTTTCATTAGACCATTTTCTTTGCAAGGTAATAACGAATGAATTTATATTTTTCATTGAGAACAATTTCGAGCTACCAACGGTTTCCAATCATTGGCTTTAAGTACCCTGAGAAAACCAACCAGGTAGTCTATGCCACCCTGCATAGTACTAACCAAGACTCGAATTCTTCAATGATTAGGGATGTGTTTCGGTGCAACCACCTCCTTCTGTTTTCTAAATTAGTATTGTATAAACTAACACCAATTGCCGAAGGGGGCAGTTCCTTGGTATGTTTAACACACACCCTAACCATCTCAATCTATGAGACTTCATAACTTCATCGATTGACAGCCATTTCTCACAGAACACAGTTAACTACTACACAGTATACACTCCTTTTAATAGATAACTGTATTTCACACCTGCGTCATAAATGATGTAAGTTGGCAAACGCCAAGTGAATTTTTGCAATGCGTACTGAGGTGCCATCAGTGGCCATTCCATTAGAGTAGGGATGGACCACCTCCAAAATAATTAAAGTACGGAATTGTTCTATCCTTGAATCGGTTCTGTGTGTGTGCCTGTGACTTTAACTGTCATCTGGAATCGTTCTCTTCTCTTTTCACAACCATGTGAATGAATATCTTGACTTTATGTACATTTTCAGTTAGTAGTAACATACCGTCAATTCCGCATGAGAATTTATTTTATATACACCACACGTATCTAATTATTCAATTTAACATGACTGTATAATTGGAGAATGTCAAGTAGGTTAGTCGTGTGATTATATGACTTTAACTCATAAGCAATTAGTAATGAGAAGGAAGTAAAATTACAGCTATGCTTTTGCCTCATGAAAATAATAACAATAATAATAGTGTAAGAGTATCTCTGTATAGAGAAATTATGTACACCTTTTCTGTAAATCGTTATTTGCACAGATCTTCTGTGTTGTGCTACTTCTGACCTTCGTGTTATGTTTCTTTGGTTTCTTTTCGTGTTTCCCATGTTTTTCCGCAACACTGGTTCATTCACTTTCTTTGACGTCAAATCTATCTCTCTGTTATTTGATGTATTTATGCCGATGATTTCTTTTTATATACTACTGATAGATCTTGTCAGTAGCACAAGTCAAAATAGTACAGTAAGCTTTAAGCAGAAATTAAAAGAGGATTGAGTGAGGAAAATTCCCATTATGGACCAAGTCATCTTCAAGAACTGTACAATGTTATGTATATTTACCAAAAATGTATAGCAGCTGAGATTCTGGAGGACCATTCATCTGAATAGCTAAGAAAAGCATTCTTTTCGGTTGCACTGCAGGCCAAATTCTATGCTCGGTATATATGATCAGTAGATGCGTAAATAACAAACTACTTCTTGATGCCATTTCATTGTCTTTATAAATTGATTTGCTCCTGTAGAGCTAGTTATGTTGGCCTCACAAACTGAACATTATCTGGCATCGTT